TATATATATATACATACATACATACATACACACACATATATATATATATATATATATACACCTTGCTACGTGTACTGCGTTAGGCTAACCGAGACTTGTCATTTGCACTTATATATTGTTGCTCTTTTGATAGTTTTGACTGCTTTTATTGTCCTCATTTGTAAGTCGCTTTGGATAAAAGCGTCTGCTAAATGACTAAATGTAAATGTAAATATCCACTCATTTTTATCAAATAATCAGGATGGCTGCCTTATGTTATATGATAAACATAAACAGAGTCAAATAATTTGGATGTGTCTGGCTAAATCACACAAATCTGTCAAAAATATCCAGGATATATTTCACCCCTAAAATAATTAGCAATTATTTTCCCCTCATATTTTTGATATTTTCATTACAATTAAGGATATTTCCTCCATTATAAGAAATTACTAGTAGCAATTATTTTTCCCCCATATTTTTTTATATTTTCATAACCGTTACGTATATTTCCTCCATTATAAGAAATTGTCAGTAGCAATTATTTTCCCCCCATATTTTTGATATTTTCATAACAGTTAAGGATATTTCCTCCATTACAAGAAATTACCAGTACTTAGCAATTATTTTCCCCCCGTATTTTTGACATTTTCATAACAATTAAGGATATTTCCTCCATTATAAGAAATTGTCAGTAGCAATTATTTCCCCCCCCATAATTTTTGATATTTTCACAAGAATTAAGGATATTTCCTCCATTATAAAAAATTGTCAGTAGCCTACTCTAACACAAAAAAATCTTGTTCATTTATTTATTAAAAATATACATATTTAAATTGTTAAATACATCTGTAAAGTAATATTGTTAGTGTCATTATGTTAGTGTTTGTTGTACTGATTTCCTGCTGATTTTAATAAAAAAAAATACTGTGTATTTACAAAACCAACTTAAAGTATGCAAAATATTCTTTTTCTTTCTTTCTTTCTTTCTAGAGACTTCGCAACAGATTAAGTACCCATAAAATACTTTTAATGAACCACTGTCTAATGCTTCTGAATGTAAACCATTCATCATCAACAAATGATTACAGCAATGTATATTCATTAATCTACCTTAAACAAGCGTCGTACAACCCCATCCAGAACATCCCACTTGGTTTTTCCACTGACACCAATGCAGCCAATCAGGAAGTCTCGAGTCCTGCAGTCCTGTGGGAGACAGAAGACACATCATTAAAACAAAACTCGCTCAAATGGGGCACTTTTAAAAATCCTCCTGCAAAAAAGGCGAGAGAACTGACCTCTTTCCACGTGACGCCCTCTTGAAGACTGACAACTATTTTTACATGTCTGCTCTCTTTACGAGAACTTCCGTCTCCACCAGAGTCATCCAACAACATGTCTAAAAGAAGACAGACTAGATCTGTAATGTGCTTTTATGATTCTTTTCTTGCATAAAGCGACAAAACAAACTTTAGGGAAAAAATAACACAAAAAATAGCATGTATGCCCCTACCGAAGCTGGTGGACTCTGTGAGGTTGAGGCTGTGTTGAGACAGGCCAGGTGTGGGGGTCGGGGTCGCGTTATAGACGGACACTTGAGAGGACGCCCTGCTCCCACTGGCTTGGCTTTCCAACTTAAGACGATCATTTTCCACCTTTAACTTCTCGATCTCCACCTATCAGACCACCCAGATAACGATAAAATATGTAACATTTCTCTTTTCTACTGAAAAATTGTGAAAAACACTGTTGCAAAAGGAAGCATCGGAAGATTCGTGGGACTGCAAGAAGGTAACGTGAAGGTCAGTCTCACACCTGCATGCGGTTCATAGCCTCCCGCAGCTGGTCCAGCTGGTGGGCGGAGCTTAGGGCTTCCAGTCGAATGTCCGTCAACTTCATCTCCTTCTCTCGCAGCTCGTATTAACTTAAATAATGTTAGCAAATGGGTGCAATATAAAAAAGAGGGAAAAATTTAAGGGGGTCTGAATACTTTCCGTACCCACTGTATATATATTTAAAAAAAAAAAAAATTTTTTTAAACAAAGACGCGCAGAATCAAACGGTTTATAATAAATGTAAAATAAAAAAATAATAAAATCAAAATGTAATTAATAATCAAAAAGTTGATCATCAAGCAATGCAAAATCAACTTTAAAATAAAAAAATCTAAACAAGTAAGATCATTATCAAGAATTTAGAAACAGAAGTTGTTCACAATCAGAAAGTTCAAAATCAAGTACTTCATAAAATTCAAAGAAGAGGAATTTATAATCAAGAACTGAAATAACATGATCATGTCATGATCCCATTGACAGCTCATGGAACATTTCTGCAGACTTTGCTGTCCTGTGTAAAACTAGACACTGGGGTGCTTTCACACTAGCACTTTTGGTGCGCACCCGGGTTCGATTGCTGTATTCACACCTGCCAAAAAGGTCCGCACCAAGAGGGGAAACGAACTTGAGTTCGATTCAATCGAACCAAACAAGACAGGTGTGAATACACCCAGAGTTCGGTTCGTTTGGATGATGTGAACGCTGTCTTCCGAACTCGGGTGCGCACCCGTGAACCGTACCCCGAGTCCGCTTAAAAAGGGTGGTCTGGGGTACGGTTCAAGTGAACTCCGGTACGGTTCGCTGCTGATGTGAACGCAATCGTACGAAATCGCGGAAGTGAACCGCTATTAATGACGTATTATTTGAT